GCCGTGGGCCCTGTCCCCCTAACCCCTTGAGGGGTTACAGCTGTGGTCAGAGGCCCTGTTCCTGGCTCAGTGGCTCGCGGCAGGGAGGGTGCTGTGAGAGTCTGGCCGGCTGGAGGGGTGGCTAGTGTGGGGTCTGGCTCAGCTCCTGGAGTGTGCAAGGGAAGTTAGAGAAAGGAGTTGGCTGGCAGGGGTGGGGAGCAGGGTGGAGGGAAACGGAGGATTCCTTCACTGAACCCTCCTGCTAGGCAAAAGCCCCCACTTTCCGTTAGCCACTCAAACTTCCCACCAACTCCCAAACTTCTGCTGCCTGACCCTCTTCCCCGACACTCCCCCGAGCAGCGCCCTGGAGCCCCTCTACCTTCCGCTAGACTTGATGTGCCTGTTACCTTTTTCTCTCTCCCTCCGTCTTGCTTTCTCTGGAGCTCTTTATCTCTCTGTTTACTGTTCCTCCTGCTCTCTGTTTTTATGATCCTAGATCTACTAGAAACGGCCAGTTTCTGTATTTTACTCTCTCTGTCCCCCACCATTTCTCTCCTCTAGTTTTCCGAATTCTCGTCTATCTCTATTTTTGTTGTCTGTTCCTTAATCATCCTCTGTACTTCTGTTTCTGCCCATACCCGATTTTGACTCTCTAGTTGCCTCCCTCTGAATTTCACTGGCCTTGGGTGGGGGTGGGGAGTCTCGAGTCTCGCTCGCTCCCTCTGCAGTTTCTCTCTGCTGCTTTCTCCGGGCCTGGCTCCCCTCTCCTCCCTCACCACCTCCATACCACTCCCGCTTACCCGGCAGGTAGCCCATCTCGGGGCCCTTCTTCAGCAGGGCCCCATGGAGCAACTCGGCCAGGGCGTCAGAGGCCCCCGTGGGGCTCTCACTCCCAGGCTCCGGCAGCACCTCCTCCTCCTTCAGGGGCAGCCCTAGGAGGCGAGGTTCAGTGAGCCGTGAGCCAAGGCTCCCCGCATCCCCTCCCGCAGAGCTCTTCCCTTCGAATCGGCCAGGGTCCTGAGCTGGGCTGCAAGCCAAGACTGGAGGGCAGCCCCCACCCACCCGGCTGTGCTGGTCTTCCAGTGAGTACCTCAGCTCTCAGGAACCTTGGACAGTGCCAGCGGGGCTCTGGGAGCTGCCCTCCTTTATCCTCAGTGGGGCTCTCACAACCTGGGGCTCTGCAAAGGGTCTGGCAGCGCCTCCCAGCCCTGCTTCTGCAGCGCCCAGCTTTCTCCCCCTGGTTTCTGTCTGCAGTGTAGCTGCACCCTCCCTAGTCTGTCTCCTTCGCCAGAATCTGGCTGAGGGTCGGAGAGCAGTGAGAAGCTAAAATCTGCTCCGGAGGCTAGCTCTGTTCATCTGTCTTTGTCCATATGTCCAAGAGCATTTGTGTGCAGTGTCCGCATCTCTCCAACACCTCCATCTCCCGCCCGGCTACTCTGCATGCTCTGCCACCTCCGCAGACACCCCAACTTCCCCAGTCCTTCTTCCTGGGTTTAACCCCTAAGGTGCTGCCAAACGCCCAGTTCGTTCCTTTCCCTCCTTCTCCACATTAGTGTTTAAGGGGCTCCAGGTACACAGGGAGAGACCTTGCGTTCCCCTTCGCGGTCAGCTGTGCCCCTCCCCCCCCAGCTCAGAAGAGCCAGGCCATTTGGAGAAAGAAGGTAGAGGACCCCGCTGGGGCCTCTCTGGGCCCACCCCACCCCCTCACGTCCTTACCCTGAATCCAGGGACAGCTCAGCAGAATTAGGAACAGCAGCTGGGGAGGCGGCGGGCGCTGGGCCTTGGGAGTCCCCATGGCGACTCGCCCCAATCTCTGTCCTCTGTGCCTCTCCTAATCTAGTTGCCACTTTTCCTCCTTGTCCTTTTATTTTTCCCTTTGATTTTGCTTCCCCGCTGGGGGTCCGTAAAAGACAATTTCTCTGCCCCTTGGGATGGCGGCAGGATTGCCTGGAGTCCAGCCCTGGCTCAGTGCCCGTCCTCGTTCTGGGGTCCGTGGTAGGGGGCGCGGTCCTAGCTGCAGGGGGTGGGGCCCAGAGGGCCGAAGGTTACCCTCTGTTCGGGCGCCCGGTCCACCAGGCTCGCCGAATCCCAAGCCAGGGGAGCGGGGAACAGGAAGGCAGCTTCCGGGGGCCAGGGTGGGGTGAGGACTGGGAGGGCACCTACTGGCTCTAGCGGGGATTGTCGGGGAGGGAAAGGGTTGCAGAGCCCGAAGAGCCCAAGCTCGGGCACTAGAACTGCGGGAGGGAGAAGCTGAAAAAGGTGTCGAGCCCACGTCAGATCCTGGGCCCGGGCGGAGGGAGGGGCTGGGGTTTATTTGCGGAGGAGGGCGGGGGAGGAAGTGCAGATGGAGGACAGAGGGAGAGCTGTAGCCGCCCTCCTCCCTCCGGCCCCTGGGGAGGTCCCCGCCGTCGTTAGCATTCCCGCACGTCCGGATCCGACTCTGGTCTCCCTAGGGGTTGCGCCGCTCGGTCCCCAGTGCACCCTCAGTCCAAGGCCGGATCCCCGAGAGACTTTGCCTTTTGTAGACGCTTAAGAGCGGAACGGGCTCCCTCTGGCCAGGAGAATGGCGAGCCTCCACATCTGTGAGGTGCGTAAGAGGCGGCACGCCAGGGCTGGGAAGACGCCCCGTTCCCACACAGCGCGCCCCCGGCCGCGGCGTCGGCTCCGCAGTTCTCGGCGCCCCCTTTTCAGCACCGCGAGCGCGGACAGCTCCAGGTCC